GCTGGTTCAAATGTTCAGTATGTGTTCCCATATGCACAGATTATCTTTCATCTCTTCAGGATTGACTGGACATGGCAACTTCACTGTCTGTAGAATCATTCCTAGTTTGCCACCAATACAGATGACAGTACACATGCCCACCGTCTAGAAACTAACTCAGTGGAGCGGAAGTTCTGCAACACAGACAAGCCATACTAGTCCCACATCTGTAAAATAATCAAAGGTCAAATAATAGCACAATAAATTCTACTGAAATCAACAGGACTATCTTGGGAACTACATAATCAAAATCTATATGAAATTCTGATTAGTGCACAATTTGGTAAGCATTTGGTAAAGATCTGTTTGTTTCCCTTTGATTCTTAGTTATAGTTCTCTCACCATAAAAATTGGTTCATAACAATACTGAGTGTTGCCTTTTTGGTTTTTTTGAGGGTGATGTTGTTGGGTTTGTTGATTTTTTTCTGAGAACTCAATTACTTGATTTAAGGCAATTATTACCCACTCAAAAATTCTGTAATTGGAGTCTGACCCAGGAAACAGAATTGTAGGGAACCAGCTCTCACTGCAAGAGTAGCTCAGAAATTTTGCAGTAGACAAAATATGTACTTGCATACAAAATCTCTCTCTCAGCCTTCATTCTTCTGTTTTTATCCAGAAGTTAATAGATGGACATAAATGAGAAGAAAATGTATCTGCTTTCTGTTTAAAACAAACAAACAACAAAAACCAAACCCACAAACAATCCCCCCCAGGCAGACAGCGGCAGCTTTCATTTAAAATTACCACAGCTATTAAAATGCTGCAGCCAACACTCATGTACTTTCACTTCAGTTTGAAAGAGATGAATGCCTGACAACCAAAGTGGGCAGTGTAGTGTACTAGACAAAAAGATACCTGCTTAAAATGTGCGAGTCAACCTCCCTGCTTATATTTAGAGGTTGATCGTCCACTATTCATATTTCAAGAGCATTTTACTTTTTTTAGTTATTGCAGATTGGAAATTGCATGCAGTAGGAACAGTATTTAATATTGCCTCTTTTCCCTGTCTGAAAAGTACCAAGAGACAGTAGCCTATAAAGACACAATTAAAATACTTAGACTGAACGGAAACAGAATGATGGAAAGGAGTATGTAATGACAACTTCATAAAAACACTATCACTTAAAAGAAAACAATGTGAGGCACAAAAACCCAGGCAGTGATAATATTTGGTAAGAAGGCAAGTGCTCATAATAAAAAAAGACATTGAAGTTTGATACAAGGTACCTATTTTATGAACTGGTTTTACTAATCCTGCTCCCCCCAAGACAGGAAAGATTTTGAATTGTTATTAAGAGACAAAATAACAGGTAGTGCTGGTTTAACACACAATCATTTACTCTACATGCTTCAAAGTACAAACAGCACAGAATGCAAAAGGGAATTCTCCTTCGTAGGTCTGTCACCATCCAAATATGTTTGAACTTGACATTTTAGTTGCATTTAAACACTCACTAAAAGTTACTGTAAATTTGGAAGTATAGAGGAGGTAAGTATTTACCTGACATGTCTAAAAATGTATCTGAATTCCAAAATTAGTTTTTCTTTCATTTAAAATTTACAGTCCCATTAATCAACATTAATGAGTGCAACCACAAAGGTCCTTTTAAAGAAGTGCTGAAAGCAAGAGAGCTGAATAGGAAAAACAGGTTTGACACTACTTTATGACTTAAACCAACTTTTCTTTGCAACTGATAGTCTTATTTGTTTGTGACAAACCACCACCCAGGACAACGTGTTCTTACTAGAAACGCTGTCGGAATGTTAACTGCACAGACAGAGGATGGTGTCTCCTTTGACACCTGAACTTGTGTCATTACTGTGACTACTGGGGCAAAACACTGGCTGCCCAGACAGCCATGCACATGTGCAAGATACCTGCCATGCTCGTGTGATTGTGAGCACAGGCTCAATCATAGCAGATGTTAAAAAAAAAAAAAAAAAAAAAAAAAAAAAAAAAAAAATACTTATACAAACAAGACCCAGGTTGGAATGCAGAAGTAGGGTTACAAGGGTTGGTCTTTCTTTGGGGGTAGGCACCAGGGCCGTCAACTGACCAGACACCAAGTATGTTTTAGACTCACATTCAGGAATTCCAAGCTCCTTTGGACTCTGCTTCACACCAAATATCCACAGAGCTTCTCTTACTTTCTCCTTCACACATCATCTTTCCACTGCCTCACAGGAAAGCAGAAAGACCGTTAGGAGTTTGTTCAGGTCTATTCTGCAGATCTACGGAGCACTTGCATCTAGGGTGATGGATGAGTATTTAACATTTGAGAGACTGTTGATGAAGATGGAACTTTCCCAAGGTTCATTCAGCGTTCATCACACATGCATCAAAAGTCCCAATTCCTCTGCTTTAAGTTTTCCAACATCCATTTTAAATTTCATTTCCACTGCACACACACACACCACATTTATGATTTTCTAGGAAAATTCCAACATGGCATTCAGTAAGAATACCAGTTTTTGTTGTATTTATCATTCTTTTAAAACCTTGCTGACTGTAATTGCAGTTTCCAAGACTGCAGGAACTATTTAATACGATGCTAATCTAAAGCTACAAACATGGTTTTTCAAGAAAACAGAAAAGGAGGTTCTGTACATTTCAGACATCTATCCCAAGCCAGCACTGCTGCATAATGCAGTAGAACCATTCATCCTACTATTTCACAGAAAGATGAATGATCGCTGTTTCTGCAAAGTGTGAATGTCAACAGATGCCATCCTTGGCAAGCAGAAAGGAAAAAATAGCTCCTGGACGTAAGATATTTCACTGAAAATACTCTTTCCTATATAAAGGATATTTTACTTCATATATGTCAAACGAGCACTAAAATTGTTACATTTTCACACAAGGGTTGTGAAATGACCAATAAAAGCAAACCACTTTCATCCCATATAGATTAAAAGCAGCACTTCAGACAGGATTGCATTCAGAAACAAATTATGAAATAAGTACTGCACACGGAAGTGGAGCTTTTATCAGTAGCAAACGTCATCGAAATGAAGAATGAATATTTTACAGCTATATTTTCAGGTACATTTCAAATGTGCCTCACTTTGCATCAGGTCTTCAGGCAAGGAGCTTGCTGTTCTAACAACAGATTCACAACATTGCTCATCAGCTGAGTTTGAATATAAACAGTTTGAATCTTTACATGTGATAACATAAGAACAGAAAATAAATATTCTTGAGGTAGTATACCTCTGCCATCTCCCACTATTTGTAGTTCTTCCTTTGATTTCAGCAAGCACTGGAGCTGGCTTGAAGTGATGGAGAGTCACCGACTTTCCTTTATTTTGAGAAAGTCTACAATTTCCTTACTATACAGCAACACAACTCTATATAATAATCAAAAGAATAATCTTAAAAGCAGAGACAACAAGAGAAATTAATTAACCACTCATAAATTTAAAAGTGTGTGTTTCATTCTGTGTGTCCCTTCAGTGGTAAGGATGATGATTAACTCTGATTAGGCATATCAACTGCTGAACTTATCTACTGTAAACCCAATGGGCATGCTGAGCCTTTTACTTCTAATAAGTATGTGATTTTCCCCTTAAAATTATGTTTCTTCAGATAGAGGACAAACAGTCTAGCTATATTTTATGCTAACATTCAGTCCCCAAGTCACTGGTTTTATTTTCAGCCTATCGGTTAGAGAATCAACCCTCTCCTGTTTTTCTTCAGAGCAGATAATAAGTAACTGTTCATACAATGGTGGTAATGATAACCAATTTCTCAGGCTCTGCCAAAATGAAATATGTCTGCAATTTCCTATTTTCTGGGTCCTTTTTCTCTCCTGTCTATCCAACGCATCAGCATCAGCTTTCTTCACTGCTTTGTTTCACAGTTGAGACTCTGCCAAGATTCATCATTTCCTGCTTACGCAGCAATCTAAACCAGACCTTTTAATCAGATTCTCTATTGTGAATCTTTTTCCTTTTCACTTTTACGTAAGACTCACAAGCCCTTAGAATTAGAGAAGTGATGGTTTGGTTCCATCTTCTCCTCTCATTTCCTTTCTTTTATCACATATTCAAACGTGACTTAAAGGTGAATATATACAAAAATACAGAGATTTTATCTGAACTCATACCATTTTTATGTTAGCTGAGGGTACTGAGTAAATTTAAGTCAGTTTTTATCCACAAATTTCTAGGCAAGGATTAGTTCAAGCCTGCACATTGCGAGCTCACATCCAGCTTTTCATCCACCAATACCCCCAAGTCCTTCTCTGCAGGGCTGTTCTCAATCCCTTCATTCCTCAGCCTGTATTGATACCGGGAGTTGCCCCAACCCAGGTGCAGGACCTTGCACTTAGCCTTGTTGAACCTCATCAGGTTCCCATGGGCCCACTTCTCAAACTTGTCCAGGTCCCTCAAACGTGTCAATGGCACCACTCAGCTTGGTGTCGTCTGAAAACTTGCTGAGGGTGCGCTCAATCCCACTGTGTCAGTGATGAAGATATTAAATGGTACTGTTCCCATATAAGGACCGCTGAAGGAAACCACTCATCACTGATCTCCATCTGGACATTGAGCCGTTGACCACTACTCTCTGGATGCAACCATCCAGCCAATTCCTCATCTCCAATTTAGAGAGAAGGATGTTCTGGGGGACCATATCAAAGGCCTTCCAGAGGTCCAGATTGATGACATCCATAGCTCTTCCCTTGTCCGCTGATGTAGTCACTCCATCACAGAAAGCCACTAGGTTGGTAAGGCAAGACTTGCTCTTGGTGAAGCCATGCTTGCTGTCTTGAATCACGTCCCTGTCCTCCATGTGCCTTAGTATAGCTTCTAGGAGGATCTGTTCCATGATCTTCCCAGGCACAGAGGTGAGGCTGACAGGTCGGCAGATCCCAGGGTCCTCCTTTTAACCCTTTTTAAAAATGCGTGCAACATTTCCCTTTTTCCAGTCACTGGGGACTTCACCTGACTGCCGTGACTTTTCAAATATCATGGAGAGTGGCTTCGCAATTACATCAGCCAATTCCCTCAGGACTCTGGGATGCATCTCGGCAGGTCCCATAGAATTAGGTATGTTCAGGTTCCTCAGGTGATCACGAACCTGATCTTCTCTTACAGTGGGAGGGACTTTGCTCCCTCAGTCCCTGCCTTGAGGTCCATCCATTTGAGAAGTGTGGAAAGAAAGGTTGCCACTGACAACTGAGTTGAACAAGTTGTTGACTGCCTCAGCCTTCTCCTCATCTGTTGTTACCAGTTTGCCAGCCGTGTTCATTGGGGGTGTGTGCTTTCTTTGACCTTCCTTTTTCGGCTGACATAGCTATAGAAGCTCGTCTGATTATTCTTTGCACTTCTTGCCAAGTTCAGCTTCAGACACACCTTGGCCTTCCTGACCCCATCCCTATACAACCAGGCAACATTCCTATACTCTTCCCAGGACACCTGTCCCTGCTTCCACTTTCTGTGCATTTCCTTCTTGCTCTTTATTTTGATCAGCAGGTCTTGACTCACCCATGCTGGTCTCTTGCTGTCCTTTCCTGATTTCTTACACACGGGGATCAAGAGCTATTGTGCTCTACAGAAAACATCTTCCAAGCCTTCACACCAGACCATCTCCTCTCTCTAAAACCAAAGCTTTATCTCATAAGGCAGGGAGAATCGGTGGTCACTATGTATAAGCAGGTGCCTGCCACTTCTGGGATAATTGCTCAGAAAGTTTGAGATAAGGACTCAGCACCTTCCCACCAGGAACAGATCAAAAACTCATCCCACCAAACCAGGAATCTCTTCAGTAAACAACCCTTTCATTTGGAGCGCTGTTTAAGAAACCCAACCAAATACCTAAAATAATTTAAAACCCAAAAACTAAAAACCCCAAAACAAACAAACCAACCCCCTCAAAAAAAACGCAGAGTAAAAACCCAACCAGTGTTTTGCTTCACAACTGGCCACTGAACAGAAAATTCTGCTTCTACTAAGTCCCCAATGGAAATGTCCTCACATAAAACACGTGGGGTAAAATGCAGTTAACAGACTTCACTGCTTAGATCTGAATTATTTGAAACACATTAGTAAGTATACAGATTCAAATTTTGTTGGAGATTTTTTAAATTATCAGGAAAAGCCAAATACTTTTCCCTGTAAGACATTGTTCTGCATTTTATCAAAAAGAGACTTCATCTAGCAAAGCTTTCCTAGTTTGCTTTCCAGTATAGTAAGGGAAGAATTATGTGGTAAGTCTGAGAAACACTGCTCTACTAACTATATATAGTCTTGGAGATTTTCCAACTTGCAAAGTCCTCAGCAGCTTCTTCACAGAGCAAGTGAGCAAGCAGTTCTCAGGATTCATGTTAAACAAAGGTTTGGCTGTCCTGGTCAGTTTTACAGATGGCAACACTTAAAAGCTTGAAATAAACTACATCTTAGCACTAACACATTCAGCTAGAAAGCTCTATTCCTCCTGGGTTTAGATTTCAACATATACTAACATTGGAGCTGAGAAAGAGATAAAACAATTTTCAGAGGCTAAAGAACACTAGAAATTTTCACCACCTAGTGTTAAAACTCAACTGTGTTTGTAGTTGCAGGGGGCTGGTGTAATTTTGGCTGGTTCAAATGTTCAGTATGTGTTCCCATATGCACAGATTATCTTTCATCTCTTCAGGATTGACTGGACATGGCAACTTCACTGTCTGTAGAATCATTCCTAGTTTGCCACCAATACAGATGACAGTACACATGCCCACCGTCTAGAAACTAACTCAGTGGAGCGGAAGTTCTGCAACACAGACAAGCCATACTAGTCCCACATCTGTAAAATAATCAAAGGTCAAATAATAGCACAATAAATTCTACTGAAATCAACAGGACTATCTTGGGAACTACATAATCAAAATCTATATGAAATTCTGATTAGTGCACAATTTGGTAAGCATTTGGTAAAGATCTGTTTGTTTCCCTTTGATTCTTAGTTATAGTTCTCTCACCATAAAAATTGGTTCATAACAATACTGAGTGTTGCCTTTTTGGTTTTTTTGAGGGTGATGTTGTTGGGTTTGTTGATTTTTTTCTGAGAACTCAATTACTTGATTTAAGGCAATTATTACCCACTCAAAAATTCTGTAATTGGAGTCTGACCCAGGAAACAGAATTGTAGGGAACCAGCTCTCACTGCAAGAGTAGCTCAGAAATTTTGCAGTAGACAAAATATGTACTTGCATACAAAATCTCTCTCTCAGCCTTCATTCTTCTGTTTTTATCCAGAAGTTAATAGATGGACATAAATGAGAAGAAAATGTATCTGCTTTCTGTTTAAAACAAACAAACAACAAAAACCAAACCCACAAACAATCCCCCCCAGGCAGACAGCGGCAGCTTTCATTTAAAATTACCACAGCTATTAAAATGCTGCAGCCAACACTCATGTACTTTCACTTCAGTTTGAAAGAGATGAATGCCTGACAACCAAAGTGGGCAGTGTAGTGTACTAGACAAAAAGATACCTGCTTAAAATGTGCGAGTCAACCTCCCTGCTTATATTTAGAGGTTGATCGTCCACTATTCATATTTCAAGAGCATTTTACTTTTTTTAGTTATTGCAGATTGGAAATTGCATGCAGTAGGAACAGTATTTAATATTGCCTCTTTTCCCTGTCTGAAAAGTACCAAGAGACAGTAGCCTATAAAGACACAATTAAAATACTTAGACTGAACGGAAACAGAATGATGGAAAGGAGTATGTAATGACAACTTCATAAAAACACTATCACTTAAAAGAAAACAATGTGAGGCACAAAAACCCAGGCAGTGATAATATTTGGTAAGAAGGCAAGTGCTCATAATAAAAAAAGACATTGAAGTTTGATACAAGGTACCTATTTTATGAACTGGTTTTACTAATCCTGCTCCCCCCAAGACAGGAAAGATTTTGAATTGTTATTAAGAGACAAAATAACAGGTAGTGCTGGTTTAACACACAATCATTTACTCTACATGCTTCAAAGTACAAACAGCACAGAATGCAAAAGGGAATTCTCCTTCGTAGGTCTGTCACCATCCAAATATGTTTGAACTTGACATTTTAGTTGCATTTAAACACTCACTAAAAGTTACTGTAAATTTGGAAGTATAGAGGAGGTAAGTATTTACCTGACATGTCTAAAAATGTATCTGAATTCCAAAATTAGTTTTTCTTTCATTTAAAATTTACAGTCCCATTAATCAACATTAATGAGTGCAACCACAAAGGTCCTTTTAAAGAAGTGCTGAAAGCAAGAGAGCTGAATAGGAAAAACAGGTTTGACACTACTTTATGACTTAAACCAACTTTTCTTTGCAACTGATAGTCTTATTTGTTTGTGACAAACCACCACCCAGGACAACGTGTTCTTACTAGAAACGCTGTCGGAATGTTAACTGCACAGACAGAGGATGGTGTCTCCTTTGACACCTGAACTTGTGTCATTACTGTGACTACTGGGGCAAAACACTGGCTGCCCAGACAGCCATGCACATGTGCAAGATACCTGCCATGCTCGTGTGATTGTGAGCACAGGCTCAATCATAGCAGATGTTAAAAAAAAAAAAAAAAAAAAAAAAAAAAAAAAAAAAAAGTAATACTTAGGGGTACTTTTCTCCATGTAATTTCTGGTAACTTTGCTTAATTTCTGGCAGCTAAACTAGCGTTATGTTAAAATGGAAGAAATTCTCTCCACTAGCATTTGCACATGAAAGCATCAGACCTGCAGGACATTTTTCTCGCCTGAACAGGAAACCTGCATGTTTTAATTTTATGTTAATTTTCAGAATATGACAGGCATTCTTTAAGAAACATTTGAAAAAGCATCCCCCTCTTTTACAGCAACGCACTTAATTATGCAAGTAGACAAACAAAGGATCCCTTTAGTGATTAGGGACTACAGTCAGCTAGTCAATGAGTTCTAACACTGGGTGGTAACTCATGGCAACAGGGGAGACAGAGAAGACAGCAGGCTAGATACAAATAGCAGTCCATCTTGCTATTCAGGATCAGAAGAAACAGTGCTGCAGAGGGAGAAAAAAAAACAAAACAAAAAACCCCCACCAGAACTGTAATGAACCTGCCAAGAAAGCACAATTGGACCACTGCAATGCAAGATTTATATTCTAATGCTTACATTTCCCCCACCTTTGTGGTCTTCCTTTTAGTTTATGCCTTAAATTTTTGTTTAAGGACCATTTCAGTTTACCTACTTTATTTCAGTTTTGGAGCGCTGAATCTTCCTATTAATCACTTGAAATAAAAAAAAAAAAAAAAGGATTAAAAAAACGTAAATATTATCCTTACCGACTGCACAATCGATCGGGCGTCCTCCTCGCTGCAACAAAATGGGCTGCCACTCACCAGGACATTTGTGCTGAAAAATAAAATTAAAAACATGTTTTATCAATCAGTGGAAGAGACACACACACACACTTAAGTACCTGTGGAAGAAAACACCTTCACATAGAGAGCTCAGAAATGTGTATCTGCAAGAAACAAGGAAGTCAAAAACATGACATAACCAGTAATGCTAGAAGGGAACAGGGGTGTGGAGAAGTGTTCTTTGTTTCTTTGGGTTTGAGGGTTTTTTTAGGCTGTATGTTCTATATTAACGGAAGCAGTGCTCACACGCAGCGCTTCTGGCAGCTAACTTCAGAGGACCACAGTTAAGAAACTAAATCCCTCCAAAAAGCCAGCAGAGGTAAAATGGCACTTCCTGAGGGAGCTGAAGAATTCCTAGATGGCTAGCACAGACGGTGTGAATATCCCCTGTCTCTTGTGCCTTGAAGGTTGGCCAGATTCTGTGGCAAGCCACCCTTGGTTTGCAGTAACTTGCCTGCAGTATCTAACAAGAAGGAAAAAAAAAAACAAACCCAAAACACCACACCAGGTCAAAATGCTGCTCCTACATAAAACAGCAGACACCTGTACTGCTTCTAGAGAGCAGACAAACTCTGGGACCAACTACTTTGCAGAAACATTCCCTATGAATGGATATATATGAATATATATCCTTTCATATCAAAAGTGAGTTTGGTCATGAGTTTTTACAGTCCTACACAGTAAATGGCAAGAAGTTCAATTCCTCAAAGCAAGACTTCAATTTTAATTATTTTTTAATTACGTCAACATGAAGCTCAAACTGCCTCTGAAATGATCAAGACCAAAACTGGAGTATTATCCTACAGTATTCTAGAACTATCAACCTGTCCAACTGCTAAGGTGTTCAATCAGCTCCAACAAAGAGACAGAAAGTCATGTCTTCCCAATAAAGTAGAAGACAACAGTGACTATCTGAGCACAGCTTCCCCCACAGCCTTTGCCCTCTGGTTTAGCGAATGGCAATCTACAGCCCTTGGAAAGGACCAGGCAAAGATACCTGCCTGCTCTTCAAGGTCTCTGGTGCCAAAACTGCCAATGCAAACAAGTCCAGAGAGCTTAGTGAAGTCCATTTTAATTTAGATCAGGCCAAAGGCTAGTAAAGAATAATAATTTGGTTCTCTCATTCCAGAGAACAACTAAAAAATATGGAATACTAAGCTGCAATAGAATTTTGCATCACAGCAATGCAGCGTGGAAGGATGGAATAAACAGTGCCAAGAGGATTTTCATGGGATACAGAGGTTCTCCCAAAACGATCCCAAACAAACACTCTGGGGCCATTTCTTGAAAGTTGAAGTAATCTATATCACTTTTATATAATCAATATATTTTGGAACCACTTACCAGTAAATCATTGTCATACAAGGTGCAATTAGCAATCATAGTCTGTCATCTAATTAATTATCAATCAAACCCATGAGTATTCCTGTCATCTCCAAGTTAAAAGAAAAAAAAAAAAAATCTAAGCAGTTCACACACAGCTACCACATGTTACTGCCACCAGTATAGCACAATACGAAGTGGAAAAGACATGACTGGATACTTACCATTTAATAGCACCCCCATCAGCTTTTTTATGAAGCAAAGCTTTCCAGCATTCATGGGTGGATTTAATAATTTCAACAGCAAAATCCTAGTTTACATCAAGGAAAAGTTTTATGATTTAAAACATTATTAAACAGAAAAAAAAAATCACAGAACTAGTTTATTAAAACATACTGTTTCATGTGTTATTTTAAAGGGCCTCCTTCGAGGCCTCATTAAATTTCTGGAAAATATAATACCCTTTTTTATGAAAAGCAACAAACTTCACTATCTGTCAAATACACTGGCAACACATTCAGGACTTTCCCTCAGTCCACAGCCAGAAAACACGAAGGTTGCACAAAGAGATGAGAACAGCAGAAGATGCTAAACAGACACCTAGAGCTGTAAAAAACTGTACCGGGTCCTAAATGGGACAAAGTGTGAGAGCTATGACTCCTCTGTTACGTGTGCACATCGGGGTCAGAGTTAAGGTTTCCCCTCTAGTGGCAAAATTTGCATTTACTCCATTAATTGCCCAACCATATACTTAAGCATTTGCAACAACGTTAACGTATCAGCTGCTTAACAGTTTTTGTTTGCTTAAAACCAAAAGTAATATTGGGGGTGGGTATGAAAAAGCTTAAAAAAATAACAAACTAAGCCCTCAGTGTCCAGATGATGATATCTAGACTGGCTTGCAAAAAGCTGCCAACAGAACATTCACACTTCCTAACAAGGAACGACCTGGCAAAATGCCACTGGAACATTGTGAACTTCACCAGAGCTGCTGGAGCACAGCCATGGCCGCCTCGCCACATCCTGGGTCTCTAGAAATACTTGAGAATTATTCAAGTGCTCCAAACCAGCTATCGCAGGGCATTTAGTGCTTCAAGCCTGAACTCCAATGGCCTGACAGGGATATACCCTGTTAAACTGTCACTAAAGAGCAACACACTGCTTTACAGAGCAGAAAAATCTGTAAGAGCAGTTCCTGGGAGAACAGGAGAAAGATCAGGTTATCAAGCCTTATGACTCCACATTTGATCAATTTAAAAGACAGTTTTAGTGCAGAGGGGAGTCGGGGCATCTCCTTAACCAGACAAAACATGTAAAGTTTTCTGTGCTGGTTAGAAGGCATTTTAAAACTTTGATAGTACACTACAAGGCTGAACTAGCTGACACATGGACATCATTCATCAGGAACCTGTGAATCTTTGCCAAAAATAATCTACAGAGAGTGTGCAATACACCATTTGCAAAGCGCTTTTACTCAAATCACACCCAATTCCCTTTGGAAAACTCCAGGTATTTTCTTCAGCAAGGTCTAGTCCCAGGTCCACTCTCCTTTCAAACACTGGCCATTTTTACTGTAGCTAGTTTAAAACGTCACTCATTTTTCTAACAAAAGCGAAAAATATCTTTTCAGCCTTCAAGCCAAAAACAGCTCAAAAGTTTCTACATAGAATTACCAGGAAAAAGTATACCTTGAGCAAATACCAAATATGAAGAAAAACTGCAACCTACTGTCTGTCTTAAACTGCACAGCCTTAAAAAATGTCAGGAAAATTTATCAATCAAGACTGAAAAATATCTGAAAAGACAATCTGTTCATTCCTCTGACAGAGAGAATAAAAATGCTGTGGGGAAAAAAAAGTACAAACACAGAGATGCGTGTGTAAGTCTCATCAGGATTAGGACTGAATATTTTTTTTGCAGACTTCCTTTAATAACCTATGTGTTTTCCCTGAATAAAACAGAAGACAGCAAGCATTATTTATTCCTAGACTAATAAATTGAATTCAATGATCCCTCATATAAAAATTCTTTTTGGTAAACCGTCTCCTTCACATTTCCAAAACTCCTAGGATGTATTAAAGAGGCCATATGACAGAAAAATGCATCTTTAATTGTGGATTATCTTCACCTTGTCTTTAAATTCTCCATTAAAAGCAAACTGATTTTCTGGTTTACCATCAGGGACTTTATATAATCGGAACCAGTCAACTGTAGCCTCAAGGTAACCTGGTTTGTGCTTCTTGACATCATCAATATCTGTAGGTTAAAAAGAAAAAAAAAAAATAGAAAAGGACTGGTGATTTTTAAGCACAATTTTTGTAACATTCGTTTTTTAAAGTCTCGTAAAGGATCTGCAAGCAATTTGATCTCACTGAGCACTTTCAAAGTCATTGGGGAACCACACTTCATTACATTAGCTGCCCATAGTTGATATCTTATGATTTCACAACCACACTAAACAGGTAAGCCAGTTGCCTCCTTGCCCTTCATTAATTAAGACCCAAAGGGACAATGAATTAAAGGACCATACTTGTGACAGGAGAAGAAGAAAATTCCGTATTTATAGGCTTTCATCTCAGTAGGTACCTCTTGCAATACTGAGATTATTCAGTGAAGTATTTTTCCCCAGCAACTGCAGGGACTACAGGCATTTTTTGATAATGAAAGAAGAGCTAGTAAAACCAATTTCAACACAAGGATTTTTAAACTAGCACCTCAAAACAAAATACAAGCTTGACTTCTCACAGTTATATTAAAGGCATCCCTTTGCTCACATTACTTCCAAATTCAGCCCATTAGATACAAGACAGACACGTACCAGGAGTGCTAAACACTAACTCTTTTGATAACCCTGTGATATCTGCATACTGACAGTGATAAGTCAATTCTACCTTTACTTCCATAACACTACCGTGCAAAGGTGGAACAGGACACAAGAGGAATGCATGCCATTTGCAGGAGACCCTAGGAAGGCAGAGATGAACATTGCCCCAGTGGCTACAGAGAGATTAAACAGTCACACAGTAATTCTGCTCAAGGGCTATACTGCTATAGCAAAGACGCAGTTCGTGATCTTAAATGTTTACTTCTGCTGCGCAGATCAAATTTTATGGGGTTGTCCTGTGAGACTACTATCACTCCCGTCACTTGCAATAAGGTGGTCCTATCAGCCCCTTGGCAAATTAACTCCCTGGCAATATGTTTACATGGGAAAGCCTTCAATACAATTTTAATTGATTTTGACACAATAAAGGATTTTGTCCTTTCTGGAAGCCAAGTACTTTTTGTAGCTGGTATAATCCTTCTCTTTCCGTCTATTTCCCTCTTACAGTCACTTCTGATGGAAATGGCAGATGACTTCTTATTGTTGTGCTCTGCATGCAGTCTTCCAGTTACTTCATAACCTCACTCTGCCCAGGCCACCTTCCATCACGTTATTCTCTTTCTCTAACGTTTTGCAAGTCACTTGTTAGTTTCTCCCTTCCCAATTCCCTCTTGCTCTCTCTCCGTGCTGCTTGGCTACTTCATTCTCTTCTCCTATAGATATGCCTCACTCATTGACATCTCCTGCTTGGCAGCGATTCCTGATGGATACTCGTCTGTCTATCCAGCCCTATAAAACAGATTTGCAGCCCTATAAAATGGAATTGACACCTAGTCGTGTTCTTTCCATCTTTTAAGTGCCTACATGTCTCTTTAAAATCTCATCTATGACCCTGACCAAAGACATTCAAGTATTTCTGAAGAGAACAGTAAGAGAAGGGGGAAAAAAAATCTTGTGCTACAGTTCTCTGTAGACCACCAAGAGAGATGACGTGTGGACTGAACTGTGAGATTAAACCTGTATGAGAAGTGTTCATAGGCATCTGATAGATGCCACTCCCAAATTCCACTGGATCATACACTACCCAAAGAATAAAACATTAAACTTTGAAGAACCCTACGTAAATTTTTGCTTTTGCATGCACTTAATAGGGCTACGTGTTTATGGACTTGGAGTAAAACACATTTTGAACTTGGCTGCTGGCCATCTGCCTGTAGAAGATTAGGGAGTTTCATTGGCAGAATTCCAGAAAAAAAAGGGCACATAAGGCTGTGCTAGAGGCAGGTCTTCTAGCTGGAATTCATGTTTAAGAGTACAAGAAGCCTTTCACTGGGGTGGGTGGGTGAGACCAACCAAGAAGGAATGATTTAGAAAAGGGTGGGGTCTTGGTTGGAGGCAGGATGCTTCATTTGGGCACTAATAAAACTGCAGCTCCAATTCAAATCATTTTCAGGGCTACAGTGCATCATCCTGTTCTCTCCAAGCAAAGGAACACCCCTCCTCCCATCTTGAGCCCTTGTCATCTCCTCCTCTTGTGAGGTTTGAACTCACAATTTCTAGTACTTATTGGAGACAGTATCTCCTCAAGTCTGTAAAACAAACCACACTGCTGCAGGAATTTCCTTGGCTCCCAGCAGTGGATGAACTCCAGATCTCCATCTCCAGACACTACTTAAATTCAAGCATACTTTCTCAAAGTGCTGCTCCTTTTTTCGGGTTCTTCTTCCAGCAAACTTCTCTCCTAACTCTGCTTCTCCATTCTTCCTACTTGGTTATTTGCCTCCTACTCCCATGAAAACTGTTCATCAAAAGTGCCTTACTGTCTACTAATTGACACTTAGGCCCTTCCCCATGTGGTGTTCCTTATTTATAGGCTTTGTTTATGTTTCTTTAAAGGACTCAAATGTTAGAATAGGCTTTGCAGCAGGCTTTCATTACATCCTTAAGACAGGGATGACCATCTTCATGGACAGAAACATATCTCTCTGAATTTCACATTCTCTCTACTGGAAAATGAAGGGCAGCTACTGGGCACCAAATGAAGCTTAAATGGTTGAAGAAAAAACCCCAACCAAAACATGTGTATTATAATGGGGGTCAGTGGCAAGCAGCAGGAAAAAGTGCAACAGTGCAACCAAAAAAAAAAAAAAAAAAAAATCAATCCCGTCACTGTGGAGTCAGCACACAGCACAAAACACAAGGAAAATAGCAGCTCTCGCATCACTCAACAGCTACCTCTTCAGTTCATTAAAAGGCACCATAGAAAAGCTTGAAAGACAGCTTGTCTTCCACTTTGAAATCCAAACAGCATCTTTGGGATATCAGAGGGAGGAAGAGAAAAAACATACTCCAAAAACAGAAGAGTAAGCAAAGAAAGGTAAAAGAAAGTGCTACAATAAGCAGTACAGTGATTTACTGCAGTAATATCTATAAAAGCTAGGTGTATGTTATGAGGGGAAAAAAAAAAAAAAGAACAAACTTAGATGTCTTTTCCACAGCAGACACTGTTAGGTACTTTTTTCTTACCCTGACTGCTTACCTTCCCTTGGAGCTACGTACTCACACTGATGTCAAAAGGGGCTTAGCAAGTTATGGGAGCAGCAAGCACGTACCTGGCCTAACGCCGTTTCATCTCTGCAAGCAAGCCCTGCGCAGAGTGACAGAGCAGAAAGGTCAGGCTCTTGCAGGCACATTATCAGCAGGTACCCACTGGCCTCTAGGTGGTAATATCTTTATATTGCCTATATACAACCATAAGTCCCATTTTTCTGGGCACCAAAGTTAAGCACCAAGGGTTAAAAAGAGATGGCTAATCACATTAAGGGTTGCAGTTCAGTCTCAATAAGGAAAATCTCTAGAGGTTGGCACAAACAACTGCTGCTAGCTCCCTGTCAAGGGAGCGAGCCAATGCAAATGCAGATCCCAATTCTATCTGGCTTTACAAAAGAGAGCAACAAAAGCATTTGTACAAAACTACCATTTTTAGTACAACAGATGCTCCTTCTTGCAAGCAAAGCTAAAACAACATGCTTGCAGCAAGCTTTCTAAACAAGGTCTGTGGGAAGAGAGGACATATGTTTTTAATAACATCTTATAAACATTTACAGGAAGCAGCAGCTACATTCCATATAAAGGCATTTGGTGTATTTTGTGCAGCATGGAGTGAGGGGGTAGGAAGGGAGCCTCGGTACAGATAATTAATTTCTTTATATTGAATGCTTACACGAATCCACAACAAAGGTTTTAAGGACCTCTGCTGCTTCTCTGCATATAAATACACTCACATGCAAGGGTCTACAGCAATATATGGTACAAAGTATGTAATATGCTTTGGTTTTGCCTTTTAGGGTTTGATCACTTAACTCAAAAAGCCAATCTTGAGCTGCACATTGGAAAAGAAGCATGGCAACATAGCACAGTTAACTATACCAGTGCCAGCAAATGGTAGCGCAACAAAGCTGGTAGGCATCACCAACTGCTGTTGAATATATCCAGTCATCTTTCCAGTGAGCAATAGCAAAAGACGGCTGCTAAGATTCCAAGCCGGTAAAATCACCTCCAAAATGCCATCTAGCATACATGGTTTGTCCAATTTGCTCAGGGAAGGTGAGATGACCTTTTGAGAGTCAGGCTCTTCATAAGCTGCTTCAAAAACACACTTCCTGCTTCAATTGCCAGTTATTTTCAAAACCTCTTGTCCAACATGAAGATGCCATCCATATACATTTAGACCAAACTGCAGCACAAAAATATCTTTCATCCTTTCCAAGGCCAACCTTGTAAAGCACATCAGATATGTATGTGAATTCGAATGTATTCAATTCAATCCGAATTGTGAGATAAGCAGACAAGCAGCCTTTCCACTCCAAGAATTTGCTTCTTCTCATGACTAGTATTTTACAAAAAACAAACTAACAAAAAGCAACAAAAACAAAAAAGCAGCCAGGCCTATTACACCAACAAGATTTAGTGTTTCAGCGCACAGGGAGCTTTAGGCCCTTTCCCAGACTTCCTTGGTCTGAAGTTGCTTTGCTGGTCCACTAATGGCCACCTACCTAGCAACTGTCTTGCAGAAAGACAACACAGTGGTTTTCAGGTAGCCACAAAGACAGATCTTACAGAAATAGATAAATCTGAAGATACCCAGTTTTAGTCTAAAAGAAACTTTCTCATATAGATACCTGCATCTGACATACAGTTTGTATTTGGAGTGCGATTGTTCCCATGCCCGCCAGTATTAAGTGCTATAATTTCAAACAGATTACCTTCCCAAGTCTGTCCAAAAAGACTCTAAGGCTCTGGTACTGCCACTGATGACACAGTTCCCACTGGAGTAGGTGCTAAGCATTCCTGGGTACTGTCACTATAAACTAGAGTTTCTCATTGCTCTGTGTGAAAGAGAGAGTTCTAGGCAGGGTTTCCAATTTAAACCAGTATTTATCAATAAATGCCTGCAGGACACAGTACAGTGGAGTGCTATGAATAAACAATGAGAACTGTGCAGAAGTTGGGACTGCTCAGTTTTAAGTTCTGTTAAGTCTCAGAAAAATCAACTGCACTTACGAGAACGATTACAATCCCAGAAGAAGAATATACAGAGTACCTGCGGTGTGCTTAAAGCAGCAAGAGGAGTTAACACACTGCGCGGGCTCAGGATGGGGTTTGCAAATAATCACCACTGGTGTCTCGGAATTATCTTTTCCAAATGTTCACTGGGGGCTGTGCACATACTGAGCTGAAAGCAAATGTGATGATTCTCAGTCCAATTCAAAATGTTTAGCAAATGACACAAAAATGACTGGACAGACTTAGAAGGCAAAAAAAATCCCTAGGAGGCCACCACTGTAACACAGCAGCACGTCAATTACTGAGGGAGATACCAGTTTTATCTGTAGCTGCTATCCCCTTTATGCTGAAATAATTAACATCTTCGGAAAGAGGGAAAAAACAAGTATAAAAGGACATATTGCACTGCCTACTCCAACAGATTTGTTTGTTTTCAGACTGAAGAAGGATTGCTGTTAAACACTGCAAGCTAGCCATGTTTTGTGAAAGCAGATGGGGGCTTTTTTTTTCCCCCCCCCCCTTTTTCTTTCCTTTTGTAAATCCTGGACTGCAACTCCAGTCCCAAGGGGAAATCATATTAAACTGAATAAATATTTCTGCACTTCTCTGAACCTCAGAAGGACAGTTCTCAAAGTTTTGCAACCTATTCTCTGATAAGAAAGGATGCATACAGGAATCAACTACAGGCAATAGTTTGCCCTTCAACCCACCCTTTTTTTAAACAATACTAAAACTCTTACTCCCAAACAAACTAAAGCTGTAACACAGCTGACACAAATCAGTCATTACCTGAAAAAAAAAAAAAACCAACCAAAACAGAGGACTTTGAAATAGAGCTACTTAACCCAGTGGCATAAACTGTCACAGTTTTGTCTGGACTTACTGGAGTCCTTTTAAATTCTCTCACCCACTTTTCTGATTAAACTCTCTCAGAAATTGTTAAGAAAAAAGGCAAGAGTTAAACAGAACTGTGTATAGAAATAAAGTGCTAATTACTTGTCTTTTAACTACTGACACATACCGCATTTCACTGCACATAATAGAGTTTTAAATTGACACTTAACATTAACAGCAAACTATTACTTACTATTTCCTTAAGCTGAACTTCTTAATCTCTAACTATCAAAGTAGTTAAAAGAGTCATAAACACTGTGCAGTAATTCATCTGCCCAATGTTTTTAATCACCATCAACCCAAGAGTTTCCTTTTCCTCATTTCCTCTTCTCCCTTTCTTTCCCCCCAAGCCAAGTATTCTCCATGTGAAAGCAACCTGCAAGAAAACTGAGAATGAAGGGCCAGTCCAGTGATATATTTACTTTACATTCAGAAACCAGGAAAAAGCCTCAATGGCCGAGAAACATAATTCCTTAAAAAGCTGCTGGATAGTCCTGTTCCTACAGAAAGGTTACTCTGTGCCTCAGTGCTCCCTACCAACAAAGAGCAGGCTCTGATCATACACACCTGATGGTATACATGGTTTTTGGCCTCATAACAATCACTAACTTTTAGAGAAACCTCCTCACTTAATTCTCAGGATTCCCAGTGACATTACTTTTGAGGAAGTGAACCTCCATTTATCCAGTGAAAAGCTGCATTCTACCTGTGCTGTAAAAACCTAAGTCCCCGCAGTTTTAACACATCTGTATCCTCTTCCTATCAAACAGTGTGCAAGTAGAATTACACCTCACGTGCTATTCAGACACATTTTAGGCCCCGAATTTCATTTGGATACCAGAAGCATGGCCACAAGGAAGACAAGTCTGGACAGGACATTTCCCCCTGCACAGCTAGTCATCATCAAGGCTGGTATTAGGGTGAACTGCATTAGCAGTTTACTTTGCAAATCGTCAAGCTAAAAGGTGAAACCTAATCGTTCATACTAGACAACAAACCCTGGAAGTAACCTGGTTAGAAGTGACAAAACACTGGAAATGTACAGCCTTTTTCAGAACACAACACAATGCCTGCAAATATAAAAGGAACAAACACTTTCAACAAGGAAAACAGCAGTATGCTACATAATCTGAGTGGGTAAATATGCACTATTACAAAGGAGATAAGCCTGTAATTTTAAGAGGTTGTTTTCTAAGGCAGTTGTGTTTCAGAAGTCAAAAGACTTTCTGCACAACAGGTCCTCTTGAAAATCCAAGCAAACCTTTTCAAAAGCTTAATGTGAAAGCACGTATGCCCTCCTTGAAGGAAGCACCTGATTTAAACAACAACAAAAAAAGTTTTGCCTTTCTGCTATCTGCCTCTTGCCCTGGGTGGCCTAAACTCAGGTGCCACTCTACTGTGCAAGTTACTGACATAACTTGCATTAAGAAAGATAAAAATACTTGCCATGGATTTTCTGAGCTTCTGGGTCATCCACACTGATCGCAATTATCTTCCAATCTGTCTCTCCTTCATCAACAAGAGCCAAAATACCTAAGACTTTCACCTGAACAATTTCGCCAGAAGAACGAATCTGAAACAGAACATAATTTCACAAAGATTTGGAAAACACTAGAATTTTTCTTCTACCTTACAGACAAAACAGTTTTACTACATTTTTGATTAGCAGCTAACAGAATTGCAAGATAGATCTGTAAACCCAATACACATCTATTTAACATTACCAGCCCTTCTCCCACCATTGCTATTCTTCAACCCTCAATTCTCCAGTCAGCATTTAAGTAGACAACTCAAGCTAAAAAAGTACCTCCTCTTCTACCCTACTTCCCCCACACCTTCTTGATCTTCACCCCAAACTGCAAGTCAAAAGTATCTCATACTCACTTTTTAACTCCTTCCTGCCTCTTGACTTTCTACTTTCTCAACTCTTAGTCTCTCTCTTGCTGTTCCTTCCTCTAGACTCCAATATACACATACACGCACACACCCTTTCCCCAGAAATATCAGCACAACTCTTGTTTGCATTTTCCTGGGTACCTTCTCCCTACAAGATAATATTCCTTTCATAACTCTTTCTGGATCCCTTGAAATTCAGCTTTAGGTTCCTTTCCTCAAATAAAGCCACCTTTGCTGAGCTCCCCAATTAACTTTCTCCATATGTAAAATATCCCAAGAGATCCCTCTTCCAAAGTCATCTGTTTCATAACCCCATCTTTGACACCAAGGAGGATTGCTCCATTCTTTGTTGCCTCCAGATGTGTAGAGTTTTCTTTCACTGAGCTAAAATTTTCCCCTATACCTACTAATGGTATTTGCTGTACCTCTTTTTTATCCACCCACTCCAAATCTCGTTACTCTGCAACACTGCAACATGTTCCTGTCTTCTCCTCTATAGAAGAGGGATCTACTTCTGTTTGCACCCATGAGAAAACTCAAACCTACCTTCTTTGTGGGTCTGACTTTGTAATTTTATGTGCATGATGCTGCCATACTTCCTCATCTTTCAGAAACTTAGCTCCAGTACTTCTAACAGAGGAAAAAGAAAGAAAACTTTTCCCTCCCCCAAAATCTTAACGCCCTCCTCCTTCACCCAAAACTCACTGTCCAGCCACAGAACTTCAGGGTGGTGGTCTCTTACTTTCCCTTTTATCCAGTACACAGACTTCACCAAATCCTGCTTTTTTTCTCCCTTTTAAAAATCCACTATTTCCTTGCCTATTCCCTCCTCAGATCCTCTATTAATACTTTTGTCATCCCCCGAGACGATTACCACCTTTACTGGTTTTCCCTCTGCCCTTCTCTTCCAAAAGTCATTACCAAATTATTAAACTAACATTGATAAATTAAATTAATTCTGATAAAGACAAACCTTTGAACCTATTTCACAAACATCAATAGGATCATTATCCCCACAGCAACCTGTAATATTATCTGTATGGTTTGGATCTTCCCAGGTCTGTCAAAGGAAAGAGAATCATCAGTTACAAGCTGATCTGCAATTACAATTTGTCTAACCACTAAATTACTAAGATTAATAAAAACACCAATAAAAACATCAGCTTTCTCAGAACAGTCTTGCTCAATGGGAAAAGAAAAAACAAACAAACAGCCAACGGACTGACGTCAAGTAACTCATCATCACACTCAGGACAAGTAACATGAGGATTACTGAGGATATAGTAGCAAAAGTATTACCTGCATTTGTGACTCAGCAGGCACACTTAATCAAATTGCAGTGATTAAGGCATCAGAGAACCCCGATTATGTATTTTTCTGGCTACTAGTAGTTGTGGGATTAAGCAAGAACATCCTACAATCACATTCTTATTATACTCGTTAAATACCATGGCGCTAGCATAAGTTGCTTTCAAAAACATCTAGGCTTTGAGCTAACCAAGCTCCTAGGTATGGATTTGTCAGCACCCAATTAGCTTTTTAAAGTTTTTAGATTTAGGTATGAAACATTTCTGAGTATTTTGAGATGCCTACATTCCCAAGAACAGCCAGCAGCTTGAGACCAAAGAAGCTTCTCCAGGAGGCAAGTTCAAATCCCTGCTCTGAGCTCTGTACGAGCAAGGAATCATAACCAAGTTATACTAACTAATTACTAGACCAGGACTTGTTTTATCTCTTCCTGGCTAGTAATGAGAACTCATTCCAAAGTCGAGAACTTTTCCCAGTAAGAATTTTGAGTCCAATGAAGTTTTGTGGAAAAGGTATTAGAAAACTTTTTTTCCCAAGGAGTTTACTGTTAGTTCCTGCTGTCCATGGTCAAACCTCCACCTCAAGCTTGTTCTTGAGAACCTGACTGGTATTAGAAGGAAAAACTGTGAAAAGCAAATGCCCAGGTGTTTAGGTAGCGGAATTATTATGAAAAAATTGATAAAGTGAATTTCAACTCAAAACTTATTTTTCCAATACTCTTCCAACGTGCTTTTTCTTTAAAGCTGCATGTAAAGCTGCTACTGCCCAGCTTCAGCCCTTCACCTGTAGGTTAGAAGGAAAGCTCACGAGGAGTTATATTGTCCTCCTGACAGTACAACTCCTCCTGCAATAATGATAGTCCTATCGCCATTTTTTTCTTCTCTGTTCCACAGCATAAAACAGCAGCCACAAATACGTATCTTTAAGCCGTATACTGGGACTGAACTTCTGGCAACTGCTGATCCTGATGAAAAGTCCTCTTGTGATAATGGAGACACTGAATTGGATTTTGTTTCTTACAGCTGCTAGTAGGAATCTGGACTATCATCTAGACTTCAACAATTGGAAGTGCAATGATCCAACTGGTATTTTAAAGTCATTACAGAAAATAAAAATGACAATTATCTCCAGCCCTCTCTGACTCACAAGGTAACAAGGGGAGCTGAACATTTCTCCTGAGGAAAGTGTCATCAGTCCAAAATTATGCACTTTGTGCAGGAAATTTTTCAAATGTTTAGTTTTGGCTTTGTACTAAGGCACATACGAATTTCGAAACATTAAATGGAATTGCTGGTTCCCAACTATACCTACTTGGAAACTTTGTCTACTGAGACTGCTGATTGGGTAGGAGCTTCATTGCTATACCCCAGCACCTGCCTGGTATCTCCTCTTCAGGGATCAAATACATAAGCAGATTTTCAGGAGTAAACTGTCATTGCTTATGCAGTTAAGTGTAAAGAAAATAAATTACTCTTTTTCTAGCTACATCCTGTTCTTCAGTACTAATTTAACTGCAATGTTGTGTTATTCACAGAATTGAAAAAAAGTTTAAAACCTTTCATTATGCTCACAATTTCAGCCATTAGTTGGTCTTTTTCAAAGCTCAAAGTTTTGAATGTCTCACGATCAGTAAAGTCTCAGTTCAGACAGAAGTTAACTAAGGCAGTTGAGGTTTAATCTAAAAAAGAACAGCCCTTGTGTTCCTCTTTGTTAAAGATATTAAGAATCCCAATAAAATTTATGCTGCAATATATGAAAATCCTATATTAGTTTTTTTTTAAAAATAGTCTTGTTTAAGCAGAAAAGGGCTACTTGGCAAAGTATTCTTGAATGGCAGACCATGACAGTTTAATTCTGTCACTATGGTACAGAGATGCAAACTAAAGATTTGAGATTTCTTGATCATTTAACTCCTTCCTGAAATACAGTACATATTTACACCCACACCCAAATTCTGATCAAAATTTATGGACACAATAAAGCTCAACATAAAAAAGCCCTAATTTACAAATCTATCGAAAAGAAACATCCTTCTTACAACGGATTTGCATTCCAGCAGTACCCAAGATTTACAAGGCAATTTACACAGAAGACAGAAAACTTTGACCATTATAACAAAAATGTTACCTGTGGGAGGGCCCCATAATTCCATATATAACCCTTGTGAGGAAAGATGTTTGCCACATATCGAAGCTTCCCTTTCTTTATATCTTGTTTAATGGGATTCAACGGCTCCTCAGTGGCAATCTAAGCAGATCGTGAAAAAAGAGAGAGAGAGAATGGTAAAATGGAAAGCAATTCATTCTGTACCCAACCAGTTAGAAAGCTCCATCTGGGAGCATGTGCTTGTGGTTTGAGAAGTATAAAAGTACGATGGTCTCACTCTAAATCTCAAGGGTCATGTTCAAAAAGCAGCTTATTAAGCTTTTAAATAACGTTGTGAAGTATGCAAGAAAAAAAAATGAATGTAGAAGAGGAAGTCATACATTTATAAGGAGACTGTCATGGTCAAACATAAATACTGAAAAGAACATAAGTTAGAAGCTCTTCCACTTATAGTACAAGTTCAACAGACATACAAATGGTGGCACAAGTTCTTCAGACAACAGGGGCTTTGACAGCAACAGGAAATGTTTCATCTCCTCTGTTCATTGCTCTCCTACTGCATACATCCCTTCTCTCCATTGCCTCTCAGCATGTAAATGGTTTTTAGTAAGGACAAGCTCTGCAGAGTCATCAAATAACAGCTTCACACAGGTTTGGAACAAGTTAAGCAGCATTAGAAAAAGGCATTCTTATTCCTGAAGAAGCACTCACAGAAGGATAAAGCTTATTATTGTCATCATCCTCCCCAAAACCTCAAATACAAACTCACTGCCATATAAGTTACCTACCACCCATCAGCTAATTCACTGTAACCATCCCTTTGACCCTCCACACAACTCAATCCGTGGTAGCTTGGCTCTTGCTTACAAACACTCATCTAAATGGCATCACATTTGTTACAGTCTATGGGCACACACTGGCTCAGGTGGTACATAGCTTGCGTGCATAAGCACACAGCCCTTAGTGCATATTCATTTTGCAACATCCTTGTAATTTACCTAAAGTGCCACCACCAAAGCCATCCCACAGGAATTCCAGCTTTTTGAACCACACCAAACTGTCAATAGCATGCACTTATTCCACAAATAAACCCTCTCCAAGAGCTGAAATCAAGGTTTATCACACATTTCTGGTTTCACACTTGATTCTACCTGCTTCTGGTCATAACTTAAAAGTGAAGACCTTGAATATGCCACCTGGAACTCTGACAGAAGTGGAGATCAGCAGTGCTTTTTCTTGATGTGAACTGGGACAAAGAGGAGTAACTGACAACAACGGACAAAAGTCTCATGAAAAGCACTTTCAGTTAAAATCAAGGGAAGAATAACAGAAATACAACAGACTGATGAGCAGGAGGTCTGGCACTGGGGATGTAACAGTGGGAAACATTCATCCTAAGGCAAGTTTTAATTTCCTACAGTCTCCATTCCATGTGAGGGAATCTCAGCACGGAGATGCAGAGAAGACCTGGTATTAGCACCTTATCGCAGTCTGGACTGAAGGACTGCCAGGACACAATGGCAAGGCAAGACAAGTGCCTTAACAATTAACACAGGAAATTTCAAATATATTAAAAGTTATAGATCAGAGAACTATATCTGGTCCCCTCTGTCAAGCCAGAAAAGTCTAAACCCACTGATTTCTGAACCACAATATTTTCTACCCTTGACATAATGTGCCAAGAGAAGGGGAGGGAGAACAACCTGAGCTTTACACAGAGTTCAAATAGCGTTGTCAAGGGGAAACTCTACAAAAGAGAATTCAACTTCCACAATAAATCATCATCTTAAAATACAATGTAAATATCCAAGGTAAACCTGCTTGCAGAATAACAACTGCGGTGGTAAACACAGTTCAAATCATTTTCCAGCATCAGGGAAAGAAGAAAACAAAATTTTGAAATAACAGGCTGGGGAGGTTCTTTGGTGTTATTTTTTAATAATCAAAATAGTTAACAGCTCAACCACAAACTTCCTTAAAAGCATCCGTGAAGCATCCCTAAGATTAATAAAAATGTTCAGGAAGATAGGACATATCCTGCTGAGATCTGTCGTTTCACAAACACTACAGATGAAGCATTACTCTGCTTCTACATTGTAATTGCAGAGGAACAACCCACTAGGCTCTACTTTTAAGATATCTCCCTGCAGGAGTAGATACTTTCAATCAGTGAGGTCCCCAAGTATCTTTTTTTTTTGGCACAAGGAAATGCTTTTTCATTTGCAACTCTGTCAGGATTTGGCCTAGAACACTATACAGCAGAAATCAGAAGAACTAAATCCTCTGAGTGGAATGCTCTATGAGCAAGCAAGAGCAAGACTAAATGTTGGACAAATGTCCTGCAAGCCAGTACTCTAGGACTCTATTGCAGGTATGCTGTATTGTGCAGTCAGAGGGCTGTCAAGAAGCAGTGTTCACCTGCAGAAGGGAAACAAAATTAGAACCTTAACACTTTATAATCACAAGGAAAATGTCTGTATGCACAACTTCAAAATAATTTTGAACAGCGAAAATTTTATCCACAGTCTGATTAAACTCTGACTATTGGAAGCCACTGCATTGTCATAACTTTAATAAATACCTATATAATCAAGGTATTTTTCTTAATTACCTCCATTTTTGCATTCGTCCAACGAGGCACTTCTACAATCATATTAAACAGGACCTAAACCAAAAAACAATGACAGAATTGAAAATAAAATCCACTTGGCAATTAGTATTTTACAGTAAGACAAATTCTCTCCTCTGTATTCAGCAGCAACACACATCACATGTCTCTGTTCCAGCCAATTTTACGTTAAGTACAATTTGTTTAGTTCTGCACAATGATACTCAGCCTCTTTCATTCATCCTTTCCCCACCCCACTCCTTTGGGAATACAAACAACTACAAGTAGTGGAAATCCACATGATGTTTTTTATTCCCGTATCAATATTAGTCCTCACAAAATGTTCAGAAAGTCCATGGAATGGCTTGCCACACGGCAATGGTTCAGTCCACTAGTCAAAGAGGATTGGACGTTTCTATAGGACAGTTAGCTTCCTTCAAGCACTGGAAAGGACAGTGTTTTGGTTTTTTCCTCTGAGGATTTATTTCTTCAGGCCCTCCTCTTTTGCCTCATTCTTTTTTTTTTTAAAAGGCCCATACAAAAGCAACAACTGCTGACATTTCTGATTCTCAGTCAAATCTGGTTGAAGTGAGGCAGAATGAGTCCAAAAGTGATGGCAGAGGAAGCACATGGACACAGACACCTCATGTTAGCCTTCTTCCTAACAGAAACAACATTAAAGTTGTTTTAAGAAAGTGAGTGGGGGGGAATAAACCTGAAACATAAACTTTCATGCTTTTAGAAGAAAAATAAGTAATCTACGCCCTTTTTACTGAGGAGGTTAAAGTGACATTTTCCAAAGAGAAAAACTGTGTAACTGCCGCAAGGTTTCTTTTTCTGAAGCTGTCAGAGTTAAGCACTACCAAGAAGTAGAGTATTAATTGGAATGGGTAACTAGCTCAAACCACCCAGCAATGTCTACATCCTACTTTCTCCTAGATTACTAAAATAACCCCAAAGTATCACATTGCCTGAGACAGCTCTTCATAACCAAACTCACATTGGTATTAAAAATTGCAACAGTTCAGGAAAGACAAAATATGTTTTTGAAGAAATTTGTAGGAAAAAAAAAAGTTAAAGACTCTTTAACTACACTACAATTAAGGCTCCATTGGCCTCTTAAATATTTGTATTTTTGTTTCTTTTATCCTGCAGCTGCAACAAACAAATACTATTACCAGGGTCAATGCCACAGTCTGATTAAAGTAATTCCAACAGTTCTATGATCTCCTCCCAAACAAACCTGGAATGTGGAAAGCAAGAAAGCAAAAGAAAATCCCAACTGTCACTCAGCATTTCTCCCATGAGATCACAAGCTATGCACAATCCTGACAGCAAATTCCCAGTAAATTTAAATTAAATTCGCCATCCATAAGTACTGTGCCCATACTGCAATCAGTGGCACGTCAGATGGAATCACTTTTCCCAATCAGGTCATAACTGAATAAAACAAGAAGAAAAAAGGGAAGAAAAAAAAAAAAGAAGAAAGGTGCTTAGGATCAGTTTCATAAAGCACACCTTATGTATATAAGAACAGTTCAAACAGATAAGTAATCAGAAAGAGAGCAGGCAGAACAAAGCAACATACATGCAGCAGCAGGTAAGGGAAAGATTGGAAAAGAGCCAAATAAAGTCTGCACATCCATCTGGGGAACACTTGGAAAAAAGCAGCACAGCACGAAAGCCAGTGCTGACAAGAAACTCTTAGGGAACTGCCAAGCAGGTCAAAGAATTGTTCTGACTGGTAGCTACAGGCAGAAAACTTACAAATTACTTCTGGAATTATATACAATGTCTTCCCGTCCACCACAATCCTGTATTTTTGTTGGTTTAGATGCCACTGTACATTTTCCTGACCATGTCTAATACAATGGCTTCAGTTGCCTGTAGATCTTGGGTTTGAGCTTTGATTGGCTAAGAGTTATTCCAGGTCTTCACCAAAACAACTCTTAGGGCTGGATAACAGCTGGACTGAAATGAATACAATGCTGCTCTCAAAAACAAAAAATCACTTGGATTTAACTCAGCTCTAAGACCAAGCCTTCATAATTTGTGGTATCAGTCAAATGTGAATTGTCAAGAGTCTTAAATGTGACAGCCTGACAGATTAATTTGCATGCAAAAAAATCCCTGAAAGTACTCTCTCTAATGCTAAGCTGCCACAAGCATTTACAAGAGATTAATAACTTCATGCAGTGCTTACATTTAAAAATAAAAAAGTTTTATTTATAGGGCAATCATATTTTCACAGTGATGAGACAGGATTCACTGGTGTGGAAAGGAAAGCACATACTAGATAGCTTGACAGACAGAAAGAGAGAAGTATACTCCTCTGGTTTTTTAGGGTGTTTTTTTCCTCCTCTTTCTTACCTTGTTCCCCTCCTTGCCTAAATATCACCCAGGAATTTTTCCATCACTTTTATTTTCCCAGACCAAACACCTATTTCTTCTGACCACTTAAATGTTCTCCCCCATCCCCTACTGCAAAACCGTTCCTGCCTCAGCTGCGAACAGAAATGCAAGTGTCAGACACCACCTGTCTTCACAGATTACCATCTGCATATGCCATTCAGTGGTTAGTTTTGGATGGTGAATGCCTCTGGTAATTGATATTTTTATCTTTATTCTACATCAGTAAAACAAAAAATTCCACCTCACCAAACCCCCAAGTGAGCACTTAGACCCCCTCAAGCAATGGTGAGGCTGTTTCAACAGCCCATTTGACACACCTTCCAGCGACAGAAAAAAGATCTCTCACGGAACAAAAAGTATTGCTTTGGAAAGTTTACCATTTAAGTGCCTTAGCATGACAGCAGCCAATTGGTCTGCCCGTGAACTGTTTGCTGCAGTTCAGATTTAATCCAGCTCTGCAAGGGACTCCATGACAGCAGACCGTTCAACAGGCCAGATGACGTAGCTCCTACAGGCTAGCCTCATGCCAGCTCTGCTAGCTGACGGTTTCTTCAGGACAGTCTCCTGGAGCATGCACGAAAAAAGGAGGAAACCATTTCCTAGATTCAGAAAAAGGGACAGAACCCATCTACATGGGGAATTGACCTGACAGAGCCCAGAGGGACTTTCAACCCAGGGTATTACGTAGCTTGTTTGACTTCGGGTTAATGTGAACACAAGACAGACGTTTGTACTTATGCTCTATTATACCTTGAAGAGGCGAATGGGGGCAGAGGGGGAAATCTATTTACTCAACACAAAGAATTCAGAAGTGCATTTCCTAATTCCCAAAACTGAATATGAAAATCAGCAGAAAATGACATCAGAAGGAACAACTAGTATACCTAAATGATATACTTTATTTCCTAAGAACTACATGCTAAACACATTACATGGGAACTCATGTAGGATGTAATAAGTGTTTGCTTTATCGGGGTGTTTTCTTTAACACTGCTTGGCAACTTACTGCATTCCATTTCAGTTGAACATAATTTTTAATTTATCATGATACCATTTTTGCCAAGACAAGCAAAAATCTCTTTCACATAGAGAACAGGAACAGTTTTTGTTTTTTGAAATAAGAAAACCACAGAAAGATATAAAAGATACACAAATACTTCAACACATTCATACAGCAAGTGTTGAGAAAAGCAAGGAAAATACAGACTGTTGTACCCAGGTAAACTGTGAGTCAGCATTCTCTCCAATAAGACTGATGGGCAAAAATAACTGCTAGCTCTGACTGTATGGATCCTTAATAGAAGAAAACTCATTTTGGTTAAGAGTTTGTTATTACAAACCTGAATATCACTGGGGGAAAAAAAAAAAAAAAGCACATTTTGACACTTTTCACAACCTACCCTTCTGGACTCCCATACACTCTTCTCAGACACAATTCTTCCTTACCTAACTTTCCCTTTCTTGTTCAACTACTTCCTTTGGCAGTCTTCCCAAGTTTCTTAGCTGGTGCATTTGAGGGTAGGGTTCTGAATAGGTATGATTTTGCCCAAGGGTTGCAACAGGTAATACTCAACACTAAAGGTTCAGCTAATTTGAAGCAGAAGTGGAGCAACCCATGCAAAGCAAGGAAAGTGACAAAACAAGAGAGGAAAAGAAAGGAACAGAAACTCAGTATCATTTCATAAAATGAAAAACATCACCACTTTTTAAGGCCTGATTGTCATTCACCATCACCCTTGCGTGACATGGAGAAGAGAGATGCTAAAGCTTACAATTACTTTAGTCGTTTTCACAGTAGAGCGCTCAGAAAAAAAAAAAAAACCTGAAAGCATTAGAGGCAGCATTTGGGGGCTACTGTCCCTTCCTCACTGAGAAGCTCTGAGCTCACAAGACACAGAGAAGAAAAAGCAGCTATCATTTCAATTTCTTTTCTGTCTGCTTATTTGCAATCTTGCACCTGAGGACTAACGAGAACAAAAAAGATGAGCTGCAGTCCAGCAGCAGTGTAAACAAAGGGAAAAAAAAAAAAAAAAAGGAGAAGGAAAATAAGGACTGTCATGAAATACAACCAGAAATAAATGGAAAGGGACTTGCTTATAAAATGAGTACCTGTGTTATAAGCATTCCCAATGTAACACTTGCTACAAGGTATTTGCCAATGCAAACAACAAACCAGATGCCAACAACATCTGGAGACCAAACATACTGTATCCAAATGAGAAGTCAGTGGTACTTTTCCAATATAAATTAGCATGCCACATAGCAAAAAAGGAATGCAGTGCCCAGCATAAATGCAAAGTGCCTGCAGCCTCTTCATAGTGTACAGTGAAGAGGAAATCATGAACACTATGTAAGTTTTTACCTACAGGTATCCTAAAAGCTGTGTCGGACATACTCTCTGATAAACTAGGTACTGGACACATTCACCCGCAAAACTACTCACTGTACAACCATGACACAAACGAAAATGAAACACTGACTTTCTCAAGTTTAAAGAACCATTTATTTGAAGTTAAGCTTGATGAAATCACTAATACAACTTTCTCAGTAAACCAACTCTACTCCAGTAGATTTTAACTGGACTGCTGAGTGAAGATTATTTCTACTCTCAGTATTTGCTAATTTACAAGCACACAAAGCAAGGCTTGCAGCTATTGGACACATCCATAAAAAAAGATTGGGCAGGTTCAAACATCATGGTGACACCTTCACTGATAATCTAAAATTTGGAACACACACATCCCTGAGTACACATAATGGCCCAGGTTACATATACCAAAAAAATGCCTAATGTGACCAAAGAAGGTGACAGAGGGTATAGTTAAGACAGACTACAAAGTCAGTACAAAGTTTGCACTTGTACTGCACAGGAAATGATGACTTTTCCTTTCTTATGAAACATACCGACTTTTCCATAACACAACTCTTGTCACCAGTTTTGAAGCATGAGGCCCTCTGATCATCACCTATTCAGACTGTATGACCACTCTGATGACCCTTATATCTCACCTGACTATTTTTTTGCCTGACAGAAGGAATTCAACGTAAGTCCACAAGGGCATTCCAGCACTATGCAATCCACAGGATGCAACAAAACAGAAGTTGTCTTGTCTCTCTCTTTTTTTTTTTTTTTTTTTTCTCCTCTCAAATGCTCTCGTGGGTGCCTGAAAGTTAGAGGACTATAATCTCTACATGCTTGGACAGATTCCTTTACCAAGGCCAACATTTTAAATAAAACTTTGTATCCGAGAACACCTGGGTCCTCTGAATGAGATGACATGTGAATACTTTACAAAAAACATACAATGACAAGTAGATTAGAAACCCTTTCACTACAGCAGGGAAGCAACATGTCACATTTTATCTTGAAAAGAAAATGATGACCTCTTCAAACCTTCTTGCTTCTAGACATGGAAGACCATATTCAACAACTAGCCTCTGAGAGTTTTGACTGTAACCACAGTGGGAACATCCACTCTTCCAGAGAGAGAGATGCGAAAGTTTTGATACCTTTCACAGAGATTTACTTGGACAGGAGTGGATTCTGAGTGCCTGCAATGCTTAAGACAAAGCAAAGGTTCAGACTGCAAGCTGGTAATAATTTTGAGACTGAAGCTGAAAATTATTTCTTTCAACATAGTTTCTCCCTCAAAATAACTTCTCTCTTGTCTTCAAACAGCCAAAAAACATCTGTGAATACAAAAAGATCAGTTGTCAACATTGACTGCAAAGCTAAATTTAATTGAGATTTGGGAAGGTCTAAAAAGTTGCAAGAAATGGCTGCATTACTCAGAACAGCTTATACAGAAACACCACAGAGTTTCTCTTAGAACTACAAGCCAAGACTGCAAAACAGCTAACAGGGACTTGTATGATGTGCATTCCCCTATCCCATGAATGGTGAAAGCTGAAACTCCTCGACTTTGAGACTTT